TACATATACACAGACACACAAATAACTAAAACTCTAACATAGTAAATGAACAATCACAAAATCATGGAAAATGTTTAAATAACATTTATGCCAAAGAGCTCACATACAAAGCATACAAAGAACATACAACAATAGCAACCCTATGAACAGAAAGAGTGAAAGACCTCAAAACTTCAATATAAGTCAAAATAATGGACAATAAGACAAGAAAAAGTACTTCAAAAGCCTTAGCCATGAAAGATATGCATGTCGAAACAATAAAATATCACTTTATCCCCATTAAAATTGTTACTTAAAAATGACGGATATGACAAACGTTCAGAATTCAAATTCATTGCTAATGGAATATAAAATAGTAAAAGCACTTTGAAAAACTTCAAAGGTCCCATAAAGTAAACACATATATTCAGAAATGCACGCCTAGTATTTATCAATGACAGTGAAACACATGCCTATAAAATGGCTGTACACAACTGTTCATAGAAATCTGTGTCATATGGCTAATGCCTAAGGAGCACCAGAAATATTCAACAGGAAACTAGTTTAAAAATGAAATGCTACCCAGCCATAAAAAGGAATGAGTAACTAACATATACAAGGTCCAGTCACAAAAAATTTATGGTAAGATATATGATTGCTATACAAATTCAATACACCAAGTTATTATATATAATACCAATGAATAATCTTTTATAAGTTTGATGTTTATTATTTTTAATTATTTATTTAGTAACCACATGATTAGAAGAAGCATTTCATTACAGCTTTAACATATTCAATAACAATTTCCAGAACAAAGATGTATCTCTTTCAAAAATGGCTGTAAATTTTTAGATTCACAGTTGAATTAATACAGTTACACAATATTGAACTCAGTATAAACCCTTTAAGACATAAAACTGAATGAGGCTTTAGCCTTTAAAAAAAGTTCTCCATTTCATTTGAAAATATACTGTTTCCTATAGAAAAAGTCATTTGTAATGCTACTAACACTTAGATGTTTACACATGCATCTGTAATCTCTATGTATCTGATTATTACTAGTCACAGTCGATTACACTCAGATCCTTGGCACCTGAGTATGGATATAAAGTCATCAGGTACGTTTCAATGGTAATGTTTTTCATTTCTACTAATTAACATGAAGCAAATTTTTATGCTTCTTCCTAAAAAATAACTCATTTTTTAAAATTTATTTTTTTGTGTGTCTATCATACAGAACACCCCAAACAATCTTATTCATCTATATACCCACTTCCCAAATGGCACCCTCCCATAGCGCCCCTCCCCCCCACTGAAGCCCATATACTCTGTCTTCCCTATTAGTGTCCACTGTATTGTCGGCGCCCCCAGCCATTCCCCAGTGCTTGTCCATCTGCTGAATCTAGTCAGCCTATCTACAGTTCCTTGTTTTAGGAAGATCAGCTCCCCCTTGTCTAGCAGTAATCTGTTGTCACTATTCCTTTAGATAAGATTGGAGTCTGCTGTTCATTTTCCCAGTTCTATGCTGGGTTACTGTCTGGGAGTCTCTTGGGCCACCCTGGCCAACAACTCAAAGGAAGAAATCTGTCTGGCATTCTTTCTTATTATGTAGCCTTTAGCTATACACATGGACTCTTAAAAAATTATACTGACCCCCTTAATCTTTGGTTATACTTTCCTTTTGGGTGTTTGAGACCAAACAGTTGGCCCAGATAAACCAATTTATTTTTACTCTTAAGGCCATTTGAGGATCAGCTTGGGAGGAGCTCCTGGCTCCTTTCTTTTACCAGTTCCACCTTTCTGAAGATAAGTCAAAGGTCCTGCTCGACCATGGCTGTCTTCACTTGGAAGCATGGAGGAAATGATTCCTCTGTGTTGATCCTCCTCTTTGTACACTGGACACCAGTTCAAGTCCATTTGATGGGATCTCCATGGCCTCCTTGATCAAGAGGACAGGTGACTCACTGCAGTTACAGGACATTTTGAGAGATGCTCATAGTCCCCCGGAACTTAGTTGACCTTGGAGGGCAAGGAGCAAAAACTGTCCTTTATGTCCTCTGACTAAATTAGTATAGGCCTCAAAGTATGGCTATTAAACATCCAAGAAGGTTAGTTCCACCAGTCTAGTACTTTTAAATACCATGTGCCATGTAGATAAAGCTTGGGCAAAAACTAAATGTTCTCAGATAAACATTGCCTAGATATATATTATATTCCTTGAGCTAATTGTATATATAATTTGTCAGTAGGTTGTTCGATTAATATGGTTCCCTCTGATTTTTTAAAAACTTGCTGGGCATTATTTATCTCTCACACTGTCTAACCCTTCCACCATGGTTTCCCCATTTTTCCCATTTCTCCCTTAATAACACCCTTCTCCTATGGTCCCACCTCTCTTGAGCACCTTCTTTCCCTTTATCCTCTAGGTTCCTTGCCAATGAATAATCTTAAATGAAATAAAGAAAATAAATCCTAGTGAAATCTGCATGCAACAAAGTATTCAGCTATAAAATGGAATGAAGTCCAGACACAAGATGCAACAAGGTTTCACTTGGAAACCCAGAAAACACTGCCCAGCAGAGCAAACCATATCGTGTATGCTTCCATAAAACGTCTAGAATACTGAAATCTCCATAAGGTCTGATCTACAGACTGCAATTCAATCAACATCAAAATAAAAGCATTTGGGGAGAAAGCTGCATCTGAACTGAATATGTACAAAATTTTTTTGTTTTTCCTAAAAATTATTTATATATCATGTAAAGTTTATTTGGTATTATAGTATAGATTGATTTAAAGTATATGGAAGAAGTATATCAATGGTTTATGTGCACATTATTTTATAACACCACTGAACTGTAAACTTTCAATGAGTGAGATTTGTTGTACATAAATATATCTCAGTGAAGTTGTAAGACAAAAAATTATGTTGAACAGAAACTAGGTGCAAAGGAATACACTGTGAATCCACATATTGGCTCTACAAGAGGTAAACTTATCTACAGTGACAGGAATCAGAAAGCATTTGGCTACAAGGAGAAA